CATCATTACTCTGTTATTTCGCATTTCATTTATTCCGGGTTGGAACTTCTGCTGTTTTTATTACCGTGATGAGTTGTTTAAAATTTGAATAAGTAGATGCGTGCGTTCTCATCAGTTCTTGAGTTTTTAGGGTTTTTCCATCATCTCTTCGTGTGATTCTTTTTACTAATCGCCACATTATATTGTACTGATCACCAATTCTCGTTCTGATATACTTCTTCGTAAGTTCATCGATTATACAATAACGATTTGCTATAATCAATGTAATTTGTAGGCAATTAATTGTCACTGTTTTTGTGTTTCAACTAAGATCGATCGCGATTGATCATTCATTGTTTACATTCTTGTTGTTGCATTAATCTAATCATTTCAATTCTTTCTTCCGTTGTATACAGTGTGGTGATTGAGAGGAAAAGAACGATGTACGACTGGGTAGAAAGGATAGTACAGAGAATCTGGCAACCTCTGTCCAATCGCTATGCCCGTATGCACGGCCGTGGGCGTGCAGATGGAGATGGCTACGATGGCCAATGGTCTACTGATCTTGAACAACATGCCTTCGGCGAATACTCTTTCGCAGTTATACAGGCCAATCAAGCCATGGAAGATTTCAGTCAAGTGGAAGTCGGCCACAACGCCACCTTTGTAGGTGTTTACGACGGCCATGGCGGCCGTGAGGCTGCATGGTTCGTCCGTGAACATCTCTTCAATAATCTCATCCGTAAGTCCTCCATTCTCTTCTTTTCAAGTACTACGAATAATTACTGTTAATGAGTAGATCATAACGATAAATCATATCTAAATCCATTTATCATTGTTGTTTTTGATTTTTGAAGGTTTTGCTCAAGAAAGGGAGGGATTGATATCTGAACAAATACTTAGAAATGCGTTTACTGAAACTGAGCAAGGATTCATCTATTTTGCGCGTGAAGCACTGAAACACATACCTAACATCTATTCAATTGGTTCTTGTTGTCTAGTTGGGATCATATGGAATAAAAGATTGTTCGTCGCTAATCTGGGTGATTCGAGAGCTGTTTTAGGGCGTGCGAATCCGCGAAATCTAAGCAAAGTCATCGCGCAGCCACTTACAAACGATCATAATGCGAGCATGATGGAAGTGAGACGAGCCCTGCAACTCGATCATCCAGAGGACCCAAACATTGTTGTAAGAGATGAGCATGGCGTATGGCGAGTTAAAGGCATTATCCAGGTTAATTCCATTAATTCTCTCTTAATCTAAACAGTAATTATAAATATTCCAGAATCAAATCATAATCTCATACTACTTCTACTGTTCTACAATTAGATTTCTCGATCAATCGGAGATTTATACCTAAAGAGTTCTGAATTTGATATTGATGATCCAAATTTCCCACGATTTCGTCTAACCGAACCTATCAACAAACCTGTATTGAGATCCGACCCGACTGTACAGAGTAGAGACATAGAAACAACTGACAGGTTCATCGTTTTCGCATCAGATGGACTATGGGATAATCTTTCGGATCAGAAAGCTATCGACATTGTTCAAAAGAATCCCAGATCTGTGAGTTTTCATTTCATTTCGTTTCGTTTTTCCTCCATTAAAATCTCTTACGCTTTCTAAAATTCAGATCGATTTCTGTAATTAGGGAATTGCGAAGAGACTGATTAAGAAAGCATTGGAGGTAGCTGCAAAGAAACAAGGGCGAAAGTATAAGGCCATTAGGAAGTTTGAAATGGGGAGGAGACGAACAGTTCATGATGATATTACGGTGGTCGTTCTTTACATCGACCATCATCTGGTGGCGAGAAGCGCGCTTGTGACGGAAGTTTCTATGAAGGCGTTTGAGGACTCGACTGAATCACAGTTCAAGTATATACACGGCGGTGCAAGTACTTCAGTTACCGGTGGTGCAAGTACTTTAGGCGCCGGTGGTGCAAGTACCTTCGGCGCCGGTGGTGCAAGTAGCTCAGGTGCCGGTGGTGCAAGTAGTTCAGGCGCCGGTGGTGCAAGTAGTTCAGGTGCCGGTGATCCAAGTGATTCAGGTGCCGGTGGTCCAAGTGATTCAGGCGCCGGTGCTCCAAGTGATTCAGGCGCCGGTGGTGCAAGTGGTTTAGGCTCCAGAGGTGCTAGTAGTTCAAGTTCCAGTAGTGCAAGTAGTTCAGGCGTCGTTGGCGGTGGTGCAAGTAATTCAGGCGACGGAGGTGTAATTAGTTAAGCCGCCGGAGGTGCAACTAGTTCAGGCGATGGAGGTGTAAGTAATTCCGGCGAGTGACAAAGTTTTTGCAACGAATGCGTCGTTTCTGGTAAATGTCGATTCTATAACTCTTGATTCTTTTTTGTACAAACAGGAATCTGTGAATCTGTGCAGTTAATACGATTTTGAACATAGATTTTGGTAAAACACTAAAACGATAGTTTCTTGAGTTCATATGTTCTTGAAATTCAAAAAAAAAAAGTTTATGGGTTATGTCTATGAAGCATTGTTAGTAGTTAATTATCAGTTTAATCACGTAAAATGGCAATAAGGGTGCATGATCTAATTAAAAAAGTTTTGATCAATATGAATTTCATTAGATAGTGAATAACTGATTCAGCTTTTTAGTTTTTAAAAGGTTTGTAACACCACTTCATCAAGATGATGACAGAAAATCTCTCCAAACCTTAATTAATTACGGTTTTTTTTTTCCTGGCTTTTTTAATACAAAGGAAAAAAAATGAATTAATTTGTATATTCCTTCATTAATTTTCTTTATTTGGACTTACAGCTGCTTCTTTTTTCACAACAACCCTTCAAGTCCCAGCATATCACCAATTAGCATACTTTATTTGTAATTTAAGTTAGTTAGCTACATTTAAACATAATCATAATTAATAAGATACATAATCCACTTTCCAAGTCAAGATTCTACTAACATCATTCTTTTGACACATGTTTTACTAACATAAATAAATATGGATGTTTGAAAAATGCTTTTACTCATAAAAATATTAACATTTAGGCTTCATGTGATATTTTGGAGTTGAATCAGGTGGATTTACAAATGTGAAATTAATGCAGAAAATACATAATGAATGGAAATAGCCAAAAATGAAGACGACGTGTTAAAGAAAACCCAAGAAAACCAACTTCATTCTTTTAATCTCTAAATCCTTATAATTTTGATAAAAATATAATTTAAAAAAAAACTAATTAATGACGGTTAATCATATTTATGATGATAAAATTAAAACCTAATAAGATTTCTAATTGTTTAAGGAAATAACTAAATAAAAGGAAATTAAGTCTCATAATTCATGTAAATGATTTGAGTGGTCTTTTTTCATAAGTTGTAATCCGTAAACTTTTGTTTGTTTGCCTTCCTCCTCCGACTAGCTTCATGCTAGCCGCGTAATTTTTTTTTTATAATATCATTTGTCGTTTCAAAAAAAAAAATTAATTAAACAAATAAGAAAAATAAAATAAATAAGCCCTAATCTTTATCAAATTCATTTAGGATAAACCCCTAAAATATTTTCAAATTTTGGTCCAAAATGAATCTTTTAGGATTAGGAAGTGGCATTATGGTTTGCGTAAGTTACAAGTCGAAGCACGAAAGCAAGTAGTATTTGGGTTAGTTGGTTTAGTGTTTTTAAATAGGGATAATGACTTGATAGGGTAAAATACTTTTTGAAATATACACATTTAGTACTTATTTTTTTTTTTTTTTAAAATAAACTCTTATACTTTATTTTTTGTAACAATGTAATCCTTGGTGACCGGCTATACCCGGTATACCGGTCATATACGAATTTTCTTTTAGGGAAAATGACTTGATAGGGTAACATACGTACACATTTAGTCCTTATTCTTTTTTTTTTGTAAAATAAACCCTTATACTTTATTAATATGTACACATTAGATCATTTTCACCGGATTCTACAGGTTTTGCTGATGTGGAAGCACAAGTGGCACTAAATAGCAATTAATTAGCTTAGTCACCGGAGGTGGGTGATCCTCCAGCAACAGGAAAAGGGCGACGACCCTTCTCTTTCTCGTCTCTCTTCCTTCCGGTCGAACAGCAACAGCCAAACACCCTTTACCTGTTGTGTTTCTCCGATCTGTCTCTCTTTGCCTCCATCTTTGAGATTGTTGCCAGAAAAAGAAGAAAGAATCGACGAGGGGGCTACCAGAGCAGCTCCTCGCCGCCAACTAACGTCTCTACTTCCTCCTGCCCCCCCTTCGACCTTGTTGTTTTTGCCATCATTCCTCCTTGCTACCAGTGATGTGTAGGAACACACAAAGGAGTCGCCGGAGATCGGGGTTCTCCCTCTTTTTCATGATGAATAAAAGTTGGAAAAATCTCGTTGTGGATATGTGGATGCCACCTGGGTATTTCATTTCACAAAAATAAAGAAAGGGAAAATGACTTGATAGGGTAAGATACTTTTTGAAATGTACACATTTAGTCCTTATTCTTTTTTTTTTTGTAAAATAAACCCTTCCACGTCAGCAAAACCTGTAGAATCCGGTGAAAATGACCTAATGTGTACATATTAATAAAGTATAAGGGTTTATTTTACAAAAAAAAAGAATAAAGACTAAATGTGTACATTTCAAAAAGTATCTTACCCTATCAAGTCATTATCCCTTTTAAATATGATGTGATGTGGGTTAAAGAAAATGAATTTGCATGGGTTGGTTTCATATATGGGTTTCGTAATTGCTTGGATATTATATTATGTGATAATGCAAGGTGAGGCAGTGGTGTCATAGTTTTTACGGGATTAAATTAATGAACCTATTATTTTAATCATCAAAAGCTATAGCAACATTGAATTGAAAACATGAGGTATATCATGCATGTATGGGATATATGCTTATTATGGTTCTTCTCTTTGACCATAGGAGGATATATAATTATATATGCTTATTATGGTACACGATTTTCCTTTGCTTTGTGATTCACAACTTTGATCCCACAATTCTTCAAACATTTTTTGTATTTGCGGCCATCAACATGGTGACTCAAACTTCCTTGTTCAGACCTAGATAACGACCAAATTTTGGAAACTCCAAACGAAAAAGTTCTAGGTAATTATGTCTTCTTTAAGAGCATTTTAGATCACCTTAAATGGAGTTATGAACTGCCGTATATGATCAAATCCTTTTACCAATTATTTGCACATATTCCACACACACAAAAAAAATCATACAATTCCATGCATAAATAGATATTTCAAACAAGTATTAAAGTACACACCTTGCACCATCCCCTTCCCCTTCGGAAAACTTTACCTTCGCTGCATTATCACAACCACTCCCAATTAACTTGTTGTGAGTGCATATAGGTCCAACCCTAACATTTCGAAAGTCATTGTGCGCAAATCAAAATGAGGCTCTATAAAAAACCTTCTTATAAAATATTATTAAGTAAATTTACTAGTGCTAAATTCAAAATTAAAATTGCTAACAAACATCTCATAAATTCACTACCACAACATCATATATTCACTCATTAGTAATAAATTGAATATGTTACAAGCAAGTTTGCAATACAAAATGGTTAATCTCTATTGAGACATTGTCAAGCACAAATAGGATTTTAAAAGCTTTAGTTTTAAAAAACTTCTTTGTTGATACAATTGTCTTTAATTACACAAGGCTTTTCGTCTACGAGCAAAATGTCTAAAATACCCTTCCTCGTCACTTTAAGTTCTTTACACATACATAAGTTTTACATACTACATTATTCACAATATTATACAAAACTTATACTATTATTTCAACACACGATGTTACAAATAAGAAATTAAAAATGTTTTCATATTGTTTATATTATTTAAACATACGCTCACTACTCATTACCTCATCAATAATCATAGTCTCAAATTGAAGTTTTTTGCTTAAGTTATTTTCTTTAACCAATATATGTTATTTGTAAAACTCGCCGAGTTGGCCGATTACTCCTCCGAGTACTCGCTACTCGGCCCCTTACCGAGGCGAGTTACAGAATCTCGAGTACTCCCCGATAGGCCCCTTACTGAACTGAGCAATGTTGTAAAACTCGGTCAACTCGGTGATTAATATGTATAATATACTTGATGATTTATTATTTAACACACACATGTAATTATTACTATATATATATATATATATATATATATATATATATATATATATATATATATATATATATATATATATATATATATATATATCTTAAATTTTCAGTAATTACTCACGAAGTGGGACCATTATGTGTTTTTAAGTTTATGTATTCACATTTATCTAACTTTGTTATATATTTCAATCAAATTATGATTTGAACTTATGATTTTGACATATATAATTTCCCTAAAAATATTTCTACATGAATTACCAAATCCGAGTACTCCCCGAGTACTCGCTACTCGGTAGTCGACCGAACAGGTACCGAGTAATGAGTTCTACAACCTTGATCATATAACCATATTAGTTATAAAGTCAGATCTGCTAAATTCATATTCTACTAGACAAGTAGTTTCATTTTTGATATTTATATTTATGTCCTCATTAACAAGTTTATATAAAGCTTCTACTGTTCTAGGAGCTTGAATTACTATTGTTTTCTTAATTTCAATCTTATTTTCTCACCTTGTAGTTGACAAATATTATAAAGCGAGACTTTGCTTGGGTAAAGTGTCTTTTAAAATTTTCCACTATTTTTCGAATCAACAAACAATGTATAAATACGTTGAACAACTCCAAAAACTTCTTTTTCACAAGAGTTTATCATATCTGACAATGCCAAGTTAAGATAATGTGAAGCACACGGTGTGTAAAATGATCTTGGATTAATATCCAAAAGTTTCCTCTATATGTACTTATGTTTTCCCTTCATTCATGTTTGACCCACTCAACATGGGAGAGAAAGCAACCAAGCACAATTGGGAAATTAAAAGAAATAAGAGATACTAACCTTAACCTATAGTCAGCGAGTCATTTAGAGGGGAATGAAGTGATGACCACGGAATCAAATATCAAGACTCAAGACAGTAAAACAACAACTTTCAGCAAGAGAGACGAGCAACACCGACGATCCACTGGCACCATTATTATGTTTGTTAGGGTTTAACTTGTTATTTACTTTTTGGTGGGTTTATAAGATATGAAAACATTTTCTAGAATATATATTACAAACAAATTTGTATTTTTCTTTGAATATAGAATTTTCCTTAAATTGTTGATAAATTTTA